AGATCCTCAAAATTCATGCCTAAGCGTGACCTGTCAGCGGAGAAACCTGTCTCCACTACATTTTCCAAGCTCTTGCATTTCCAGAGTTGAGTTGGCATCTCAACCAAAATCCTGATGCCAGCATGTTTCATGCTCCTTGACCTTCTCCAGCAGGCAATCCCAGAGCGTACTTCACTTGCCCGACATTAAACAGTGCAGAGACAGAGGTGTCTCTGCCACTTTGATTCAGGTCATCAGCGGGATGTGGAAAACCAAGGCTAGAGCCCCTGCTTTGGTAAATATTGGTTGATGCAACATGGGAAATGTCTGACCAAAGAAGCAGAAAAACCTTTCCTGTTTTAGGCCCCATCTTCTCACAGAAAGACAGGCTCCTGTTGAATTCTGCTCCAAATCAAGTAGAAGAGAGGTGTGAACCTGCATCTTTAGAGGAAGAAAGCACTTACCTAAGGAAAAAACTTTCCCATCCCTGATGTCTAATGCAAGAAGAAACTTCATCAGTACTTAGCCTCCTGAGGACGCCTCTGGATCACTGCCTCAGTATCCCAGGCTGTGAAGCATCTCACAGTGGCCCAGTTGGCCTTGTTTCAAAATGTCATAGACACCTGCCTTTTTGGTACTTCTCTCTCTCATTAAACTATGTAGATAGCCTGTCTGCCTAGTTCAGGGCCAGGGCTTCTATTACAGGGAGAGGCATGAAGGAATCGGGCAAAGCAACACTGAACTCTAATCTCCATCATCCATGCGAGGCTCTCGTCCTCTGTGTCTGCATCTCTGGCCGAGACAAGCTCAGGTTATAAGCGCTCACGGAGATCTACTCGGGCCTCTACACATGCTAAGAAAGCAAAAGGTTTATGGTCCAAAACCCAGCAAAATAGGCTTTTCATGATGAATAAGCTTTGAGCTGCGCTGAAAAGGTTTCATTTGCAGCCAGGGAGGTATGAAACCAAAACAAAATAAAACACACCCCACCCAGAAATAAACATTTCAGGGTTGAAAAGCTGACTCTGCCAGTGACTGGATGAATGAGGGGATCATGGTTAACAGGAATAGGCTCTTCTTACTGCCTAGGTACTATAAAAACTTCTGGAAGTTGAAGGATAAGTGACCTCCTGGTGAGGCTTGGGTTGTAGATCTGGTCTCTGACAAAGCATCAGATGGTAGCATGGTTAACTGAATCCGCTCCTGCATCCCTCAGCAGCTGACAGGACAGCGTGGTTCAGACAGAAAGAGGAAAAGTGAGTGCATACATGCATGCAAACACGAAGATAACAACGTGCCACGTAGTTTTCATTCCCCTTTAGAGTTCTTCAGCTGGTGTGTGCTGAGGGACGTACTACTACAAATTCAAAGGGTGTCATTTGTATTTTACTTAACTCTGCTGCAGTGCAAAATCTGCCTGGCTCCCAACTCGCCAGATGCCACCCTCAGACTGCTGCCACGCAATGAGCTGGCTATAGCCATCATATTACAAGTCTCTGCCCCCAGCTTCACTTGGAAAATACAACCCTCTTGAGCACGCTTCATCTAACATTTTATAGCCTTCATATACTTAACCTTAATGCTCGTAACATTTCAATCAGATCTGACAGTACTAATGATAAAAATCTCCTTAAATGCTACCATTATTTATTGTTGCATTACTACCAGGCAGGTATCTCAATGGGTTTGATAAACTGCTTGCATAATATGTAGCTTTCAGTTAAAATGTTGAATGACTAAGATTTGTATTTTAAACCACTGCCATAAAACGTCACTGAAAATGCCCTGAAGATGATAATCAGAACATATTTTCCTCCTAAAATATTTTAGTCATCAGAGAGGCAAGTTTACCTTATATGAATATGGAAGTAATCTGGGGCTTGTTCTGTTTTCTTCAAATCTTAACTCCGCGATGTGCTGATGTTTTTCTGTGCATCTTCATTGTTAAAAATGTAATCAAAGTACAGCGTAACCCCAAAGAACCAGTATTATTAATTAATAATGACATGGATTACAAGAAACAAATTGTATTTATCATTGTGTCAAGCTTGCTGGGAATTGTCACAATGTTATATTGAAATTGTCCCTGCCTTTAACTTTCAGATCACAATCACTATAGTTTAATATGACTCCTTCTGCTTGTTTTCTAAGTTGACCCTTAGGTGACAACCGATCATTTGAGGATTATTCTGGCTGTGGTTCCTGTTGGGATGAAGGCTAACAGAAAAAATACAGCTCATTACTACAATAATGGAGTAATAAGAAATGTTTGAGATAGTTGTAAGACGAGCATCGTGTTATATTGCACCTTAAGAGATAGCGACAGCTCAGATGGTTTAAGAATTTCTATTTCAGTTGCTCATGGTTTGCAGAACTTCCATTTCCAGAACTTTCATTTCTTAAGCCTGAAATCCATGGTTAATAAGGTTGAGGTTTGGGTTATATTAGTCTGTAAAATTTGAACAAAAGTTGATGTGATACTCTTGAGGAGAAGGATAAAGAATAAACATGGTGCCAATTTTAAGGGGAAAAAAAAAAGTAGTACTTAAATTATGACCTGATTATTCATTTTATCAGGACTGTGCTATTTGTCATGCTAATGCAGAGTGACCAACAGTGCCAGCCCCAAAGAATTTGCTGTCCTGCCTGAGCCCTGACATGGGTGAAAACAAAAGACTTAAATATAGCTGGGGGGGGGATATAAATAAATAAATAAATAAAAGTCAAAGGCTCCTGCTTTGAGCTGTTGCTGCTCTGAACATTTAAACACCATACCCTGAATACACAGAGCTGAACAGCAAGTGAAGGAACTGGTAAGAACAGCCTGGAAACTCCTTAATGAGAGAGGGCAGGACCACGGTGGGCAAGGTGGACTGGACAATTTGCCCCCGCTGAGCGGTGGGACAAGGTACGTGGCGAGTGTCCAGTGAGTCGCACATCAGCCTGGCCAAATCCCTCTGCTTAGGGGCAGGGCAAGGTTTGTGTAACACTTCAGTCCCACTTTCAAGCCTTTGAAAAAGGTAGCAAGCAGGGATCCTCTCAAAATCCCTGCTGGGGAGGATGCCGTTAATGCCATCTGGGTGTCAGCCTTGCTTGAAACTGCAGCGACTGATGCGCCAACTTTAATTAACATCACGGATGTTTTCTGAGCAGAACACACAGGACTGTCCATGCCACTATCTGTTCCCAGGGTCAACGCTCTTCAGCCGCTCGCTACCTCAGGAACCTCCTTCAGCTGGGGTTAAAAATAATGGGCCCGGAAGCACAGCAGCAGCGTAAACGAGATTAGCCTCTTCAGAACAATTTTACTCCCAGGCAGATGTTGGTGACGGGATTAGCATTGAGGCCAGGCTTCTCCCGATTTATTTTCGCTCCTCGCTTTTCACTTAACCCATCTGCTAACCCGCACCTCGGAGCAACCCCGCCCGGCTCA